TGAAGGTTTGAGAGTTGCAGATCTTAGGTTCGAATCCCTGCGAGGCCCGTTGGTGTTTCCGGAGGTACAAGGTTGCTGGGGGCGAAACCCAGTTGACGTCGAATTTGATTGTAGGTGGCCCCCAGATTTAGTAGGACCTGTTGTCACAAACGGGGGACTGAGGTTCCTGGGTAATAAAAAATAATAATAATTTAATGAATTTGCATAAGTATTTGTTATATGGGCGAATCCAACCCTCAACCTCCATAATGAATGTGTGGTTGCTCTTTTTTTTCTCATAAACATTTTCTTTCTTTTAATATGTGTTGTCAAAATACTAATTTTCCCCACTAGGGATTTAATTGTTGTATGTTTTTTTTTACTTTTTTTTTTACTGAGCAATTGTTGTTTGTTTGAACCATGGTCCATGAAATCGTACCATACCGACGGTTCAACCACGAAATACTAGTATTGGAAGCTAAATCAATAAGCGGTATTTAACAGTCTAACGGTTCAACTACGGTAAAACCACGATTTTATCATAAAATATCATACCGCTAACTTTTTTGGTACGATACCCGGTACGATTTCATGGACGTTTGAAAAGCTTTTAAAATAGAAATCTCCCGGATGTGTCAATGTCAATCCACCTCACGAGCTCTCAATGCAAATATTTTCTTCCCTCAATACTTTTCGACACGCATAAAATCTCCAATTAAATATGTTGGAATTTTTGTCCTCGAGAATAGGATAAGACCATCTCCATCCAATTGCTTATTGCAATTGCTTATTGGGTGGGATCCCATGTGGCAATGGCTTTAAGCAATTGCAAGGATGTGGGACTTATTTCTTATTTAGCAAGATTGCTAAATAAGCAATCTCTCTTGCAATGCCACATAGACAATTGGACCCACACATTTATGCACTCAAAATCTTTCTTTTTTTCTTTCTTTTCTACCCACTTTGAACACACAAATTGTTAAACTTAATATTCTTGTGCTTATGATTTGTTTAAGTTGTTAATAAATTATAAATTATAAATTATATTTTAATTATATTGAACATGAAAATTTATTATAAAGATGTATAGTTAATGATGAAGATCATGCACAAAACTAGAAAGAAATCACACTAAAAGTACACACTATTCATATTACATCAAGAAAGTAAATAAATTTATGCTTCAATTATTGTATTTTTTTGTATTTCTTTATATAATTTTTCTTTATTTCTTTTTGGTATTTTTGTATTTCTTTATGTAATTTTTCTTTATTTCTTTTTTGTGTATGCTATATATTGTGTTTATTGAATTTTCAAAAGTCTATTATCTATTATGTAAAAGTATTGTTAAAGAAAAGAATATGTAGTAGGTCACATCAATTGCAATTGCTAACCTATTGCAGGGATGTAGGTGGTTTGAAATGGTTGAAGTGAATAATTGCTAAAGTTGCTAATATGGTTGTAGGATCCGCTTATGAAATTGCTATCCTATTGCAGGGATGGAGATGGTCTAAGCATTTAGCCGCGCAAATGTTTGTGAAAACGATAGGTATATTTGATAAATGTTTCGTTGTAATGAGGTATACACTTTTATTTGATAATTATAGTTAAAAAATATAAAGATACCATCCTTTTTTCTATTTGGTCAGGGCTTTTGACCGTCGTTCTCCATTCATACCGCCAACAAGAAAGCAGACACAGATGCCACGGCTCCTGCTCGCTAGCTTTGGCCCTTTCAACATTATTATTATTATTTGTTGATTTAATGTAACGTAAAATTTTATAATAATGGAATTAAAAAAATATTTGTGGAAATAGCAATGAAAGAAACAGAGATTCTGAGATTGCAATTCATTTGGTCTTATTGTTCTGTACTCGTGCAGATAGGCAGAGCATCCAACCGGCTGAAAATACATTGTGATTGTCTTAACTTTTAAGAGAGACCACAATCAGATAATTAGTAAAACTCCTTAATTCGGATGGCAATCTCTAGAGAGAGAGAGAGAGAGAGAGAGAGAGAGAGAGAGAGAGAGAGAGAGAGAGAGAGAGAACAAACAAGAAGCTCTAATTTGTGGGTTAATGAAATTTCGTTTAGTTTTGATTGAATTGTGTACAACTGTACGTCTGTACATGTTACGAAAAAGTTGAAACGTAAATTCGTAATAAGAAGAGATTTTTCCAAAATTCAGATAATTATATTCAACCTACAAAATGAGAATTATCAATTACAGTATAAATTTATTTTATCCCATTTGATCCGTTGTCAAAATATGGATTATGTATGTCATTAATTTCCCCCATCACCGGACTTCGATACGAAAGTTTTTAGCAGTGTTATTAAAGCCGAGCAGAGCCGCTCGGTCCGATCTGTAAAACCGCCACCCGGTCACAAAATCGGTTCGGAACAGTCGAAAAGTCGCTCCGGTTTTATGTAGTGGTTGACGAGCAGCCGAGGCGGTTAACCGCTCGAGCCGATGGAGCCGTCGTCCGGTTTTTGCCATTCAGTCGTTAAATTTAATAAAAAAAATTGCAGAAAATTGAAAACTGAAATAAACAAAAACGTCGGGCTCTCGAACTGAATCCTAATTTCCATTTCACAATTTCGAAGGAAAGAGGCGAGCTCTGATTAAGAAATGTCCACTATTTATCCTGATAACTTTTATTAGCTACGTATCGGTTCTCTAACGATTTTGAAACGGTCTAATGCCGGTTGAACCACTAAAGTGTGAGCCGTTCGCATTACCGGATCATGCTCCGGTTCGGTTCTGACAACATTGGTTTTTAGACTTTAGACACAAGAGTACGATTGATTATTACAAACATTTGGATCAGGGGCGGAGGGAGAAGGTTAGAAGGTGGGTCCCGGGACCCACCCTGGCTCGGGAGATAAAATGTTATATTAGGTATAATAGTTTATCGGGTATGAAAAATAACACGTATATAAACGAGAATGGTTGACCTTTGAAATATTTGATATATGATTTATACATTGTGTATTGGCATATTCAATGTTTTATAACGAGCTACGTACAAATGACAATGGTGCATATGATTCGCCCAAAATTAAAGATGTAGTTATTCAATATCTAAAAAAAATTCCACCAAATCATAGCAAGTTTGTAAAAGTAATTTTATTCCAATTAGGGATAGGGAGAGTGTAACGGGTGGTTACAAAAGACGAAAATGAATAAATTAGTATAAAGTTAATTAAGAATGAAGTTTAGGCCACTTCTAATTGAGAATGGTTGACCGGGAGATCATGTGTTCCGAATCTTGGCGACCCAATTTGTTAAACACATGATATTTGAATTTGCGAAAATTTTAAGCACGTATAAGTTGGTTTTGGTTAGCGTAGTAAATACTAAATACTATAAGATCCATTATTAAATCTAACCCAACAACTCGAGTTATTGATGCTAAACGGTCTTGAAGTGATATTCTTGATAGTTTCGACATATATTTAATTTACTATGTTTTTTGAAATACAAAATTATATCAGGAATGGTTTAAAAAACTAACAAAACTATTTTATAGTAAGTATATTTTTTCCCTTCAAAATGGATCCACCCTCGACAAAATCCTGGCTACGCCCAGTGATTTGTGTGGTTTCTGCATGCATCAATATCATGTTGATTTCTGAGTAATTAATTTTCATATCTCACCGATGGTAGTGGTGGCAGGTTTGGCAGATCTGTAGTCTTTTTAGATATATTTGTGTTGTGATTTGTTTTTTTTTTTTTTCCTCCTGCATCAATATCACTTTAGTGGTAAATATTTTTCAGATTTTTAGTATTTTATTTTTGGATTTGAGGATAGCCATGAATTGCATATTCTAATACATTGACCTTATTACCTAGTCTCCCCTGATGTAATTATGAAGTTGACATTATGAGTTAAAATCCACAATAAAAATGATGTAAGAAACTACTGCTTGCTAGATGTCACTACTGATCATGATCAAAACTCCCACTTTGCATCTGTATTCTCTCTGTCTTTATTTTTCATATTATCATCATTATTTGCTTGTTTATTCTATTTGTTGAACAAGGCTTAGAGTTGATAGAAAGTCCAAATCAAATCCCATAAAGAAAAAACACAAAAATAAAATACTTGAAAATACCCACCCTTGTCTTATTAAATATTTAGTTGACCAAGTGCCTGCTCGCAACATAGCGCCACCAGGGAAATGGTGAAATTGCTGTTTGGCTTATCACAACTCCAAAACTTCGATCCAAATTTATGTTACTTATAAATCAATGTTACAACTAACCAACCTTTTCAATTTGTTGTGACATTCAGGGTTGCTGTTGTGATTTTTCTTTCATTTTATTGGGATCTCACGTACTTAGCACATCTGAAGGTCATGCATTCATCATCCATTTCATAGTAGCAGGTGCTATTCTGATCAATCTCTGTTAAACAATACCGTACTAGTGGTTCGACAGTAAAAAGACTCTATCCCCGAACACAGCTTACAACTTTTATTGTATTGTACTATCCAAAGAACAATTCTTCACGACCCTTTGTCTTAGGATTAGTCAGTTCTATTTCTCGATTTCTCAATGGGGGCAAGGAAAGTGATATAATTCAACAGTAGAGTGTCACCTTAATGTGATGAAAGTCACTAGATCGAGGCTCATTATCCAATTTTTACCTGTATAAAATGCTTGAACTGGGATTGAAACGGTGCAAAATATGCTACCAGTCTACCACTAGCTTGTACAACATCAGACTCAGAGGTATGATTGTACAACCCTTAATCCTGACTGTAATAGGACGATCCATGACTAGTTTAAACGTAAATAACAGTGTCTTCTTCACCTTCTATGGGCCAATTCTCCGTTTCCTGGTTACACTTGTATAACTCAAATTTTAACGTAATGGCTCAACGGAAACGAGGCTGGTCAGCGCAGCCCAACTCACTAAATAAAAGCCCAGTTTCCGTAAAGCAATTTTTGGCCCACAAGGCAAGCCCGACATATAAGTCATATGTCTGCAGCTTCCGAGTTCAATCGTTGTCTGTGACTCAGTCACAAACGCACATTGTGTTGTTGTCTGTGGTGGATCAAAGCTCAGCGCCTGCAAGGCAAGCGCTCTACCAGGAGAAGCCGAGAAGGTGAAGAGGGAGACGAGGGATGACAGCGTTTCACTTTTTCAACTGTGCGATTCTGACCTTCGGACCTCACGCCGTCTACTACTCTGCCACGCCATTGTATGTCCTCTTTCTCTCCTTCGCCAACTGGTTTCCAGATCTTTCCCACTCAACTAGAAAAGCACCAAAATTGAATCTGAGTCCTGCCTGATTGCTTTGTTTGACTCTGTTTCTTAATTGGGTTGCGCGCGATGAGGATTTGGAATTCTATCTGGGTTAGTGGGAAGCTGCTAGTCGATTGTGGTTTTCTTCTCGTGTGAATATGAATGCTGGGTAGTGATTCGCTTGTCTGTTTTCAGCGGAAAGGAAGCATTTTGTAATTACTAGGTTTGAAAGTTATGTTAATGGCATGGCTGCGGGCTGTGGGCAGGTCAGAGTATGATACTCTTGGCACATCTATGAAAGCTGCGCTTGTTTATCTGGGAACTGCCATAGTTAAGGTTGGTGGGATTTTGTATTTTTATTTGGCTTTCTCGGTTCTTTTGTTTCCTTGTATCAATTGGGTTGCTGAACTGCTTTATGTTGGCCAGCTTGTTTGCTTGGCGAATTTTCTCAAGGTGTCCGAGAACGATGAGTTTGATCCTTATCAGGTACTTCCTTTGGGGGAATTCCAATTGATGGAATGCGTAATTCTGATTTAGAGTAGTCTAACTAAGGCCATTGTCGAATGTGTGAATGGGAATCGCTTGTTGATTACGAATTAAAGGTATTTGTATTGATCAGCTTCATGGTTTTTTGCTTACAGGAATCTTTGAAAGCCCTAATTGGTCTGGTAGATGTTGCTGGGATTTACTTTGCTTTGACTCAATTGACTCATCGGAACATCTCTCAAAACCACAAATTTCAAGCTGTTGGCCTGGGTGAGTGAGTAGTGACCTCTAACCTATGACTGTACTTGATATAGTGTAAAATTTTATCAGAGTATGAATGTAAACATCTTTGACAAAATCTGTGATGTAAGGAATTACTGGGTCTCAACATGTCCATAGTTGCTTTAAGTCTTGCTCTGTTCTTATACAAATCTGTCATTGTCCAGGTTGGGCTTTTGCAGATTCCATCTTGCACAGACTAGCTCCTCTCTGGGTCGGAGCTAGAGGCCTAGAGTTCACTTGGGACTACATTCTACAAGGCCTGGAAGCAAATGCCAACCTGGTTTGTTCTCTGAAGCCGTATTAGTCCCCCTAACTTCAGTTGCTGCTCCCAGCTGTTAAATGCTAATAGCTCGGCACATACAGACTGTAAACAAAGTGTTTCCCTCTAAAACATTTCAGGCTTTCAGTATTTCAATGGCGGCATTGGGGTCCTTGATGTGGCTTCGCAGAAACAAACCTAAGACTTTGATTCCTTTGATATATATTTGTGCCCTAATAGTGGCAACCATGCCTTCCATCACAAGGTGAGCTTTTCTGTGACTATTTTGCATTCCGTAAGGTTTTACCATGACAAAGCTATGATAATAACTCCATGTTCTTCTATCCACAGCTATTTGAGGAAAAGGCTGGACTGGCATTTCCCAGAAGTCGTAGGGTTTGAACTCGGATCATCTCTAGTAATGGCCTTTATCAGTTGGCAACTCTTCTCTGCTTGTCAGAGACGTTCATCGTAGGAAACACCAAGATTCATCGTCTGAGAATCAGCTATTGCTCCAAAACTCGTTGACCCAGAGCATTCTCTCTTTGTTATAGGCTGCCTTTGTTGCTGCAACTCTCCACATTTACCCCTTTCTACGGATGATCTGAATGCAATTTTTGCCTGTAAGTTCACTAGCATTCCATAACTTCCCCTGTTGGGGGCTATATATCCAGGTCAGTTACACAAATTATCAGTCACAAATGAGTTACTGGACTCTAAATTTTACAGCATGTCACTGAAGTTTAGAAAAGTTAACACTATAGTCTAGTCTGGCATCATTCGTCAAGGTTTTTCATCTAAATTGCCGAATTTGATGTGCCACATTCAAAATAGATCATAGAAAAAAGGTTAGTTTGATCATTGATGATCCTAACTGGTTCAAAATGGAAAAGTCATTTTTCAAATTTCAATGGCGCATCAAGGATCTTGTATAGAAGAAACACGCAAAGTTCTTGGAGAGGAATCATGGTTCTTATTACCTTAAACCACAAATGTTCTTCATTTCATTGTACACCAAAAATTCAGTTTATAAACGACACTAAGAAAAAGAAGCCAACTTCAATGGAGTTCCCAGAAAACCGGGGGTCTTCATTCCGATTCCTCGACGGCAGCTTCGATTCGAAGAAGGACGAACCCCATAGCGACTCCAACCAAGGTGAGACCATTCATAATTGCAGCAATCTGGAAGATCTCATCAACTCTGCTGCACTTAGCAGACAGAGCACCGCCGCCGTTGCCGCCGCCGCTTTTCCTCATGGAGCTGACAATCTTGGCGAAGCCCTGATCGGCGCAAACGGACTGGCCCAGAGCAGCCACGCTGTTGTGAGCCTTCAGCCCTCCGTAGGAGTTGAGCCCTCCAATGGAAACCATCTTGGTGGTGCTTTTCGTCTGTTGGGCGGTGTTGCAGTTTCCGATGGTCACCACCGCGCCAGTTACAGCTGCTGCTGCTGCTGCTGCCGACGCCATGTTTGAGAGCCTGCAATGGGATGAAATGAGGGAGCAGTAAGGTTTATGATGGTGGGTTAGGGATGGAAGTAAAACAAGGAAAGTTTGGAGCTTTCTTTCACCTGAAGAAGTATGCAGAGTTTTGCAGTGGAGGAGAAAGAGAGGGGCTTGATTTTTGTAATTTGGGGAGAGGATTTGGATAAGGTGAAGGGATGAGATAGATGGGTTTTGTAATGTCTGGTTGCCAAGCAATCAAGATGACACGAGTGGACAGTGGAGGGAGAGTGGGTTTTCTTTGGATGTGGGAAGATGCAATTGCAAATGCGAAAATGGCCAACTTTTGGGCCATACAAAGTTAGCTGTGGACTGTGGAGCGCACAAGCCCGCCATTCGAAATCTTCGCAATAATGTGATGGTTTTAAAAAGCGTGTCTAAGCAGTAGTCTTAGCGAAGTTGTGATTGTTATAGTTGTGTTTGTTGAATACATGTATTGTGTGCACAATACAATGTTTGGAAGTGTCAAAGTGTAAAACAATGCATGCATTGCATTGTTTTAGGTAGATCCCACCAACAATTACAAAAAATGATGCATTATACAATCTCAACTAAGAGATTGTTGTGATTGTTGCTTTTAGATTTGTGTCAACTTTTTCTTTCCATTTATATCCCTAATAGTTTTTGTCTTTACCTAAAAGTTGAGGGTAAATATGACATTTCCTCATAAAAGTAGACCTGGCAAATTACAACTCGACCCGTTGAGCCGACCCAAAACCGCCCGAAAACTAGAAATTTTTTAACCCGAAATCCGAATGACCCAAACCCGATAACCCATAATTTTTTGGGTCTGGGTTGGGTGGCTTAGCGGGTCGACCCGTTAGACCGTTCCATTTTATATATCACTCCCAAAATTATAAAATCACTAATAAATTGGTGAGAATGAGATGTTTAAAAAAAATCACAAGGATTTGAATGACATGTTTTGGAGTTTAAGGTTAATCAAATATCATGTGTTTCTTGTAGTGTTATTACTCTTGTGATTGTTTTTTGACGATTTGCGCAATTTGTATTTCATTCATTAGCGTGGGAGGATTTGAGAATATGTTAATTGACATGTGTTAGGTAAACTATTGTCATGCATATGTGAAAATTTGTGTTCTATAAGAAAATATGAAACATGTTTGATATTGTTTCTGAGAACGCTCATAACCCGAAATGACTTGTAACCCGACCCGAAACCGAATGGGTTAGGTCAATATTTGACCTGAAATCAGCCAACCAAACATGACTCGACCCGTAACCGAAGTCCCCAATCCGACCCATTTGCCACGTCTACATAAAAGTAATTTTATGTAAATCAATGCATAAAGTAGAATCTCAACAACCAAACAATGTATTGTTAAAATGCATCCATTGTATCAATACATGCATTTATATTATGGTGATTCATTACAATGAAACGATTTAACATTCGCAACTTCCAAACCACCCCTAAGTTTCATGTTTAGTTAGACAGAGAAAAACATATCATCTCCCTTGAACGCAAGAGACGAATAAAGACGTCTCGGAGTCTCGGTCTCTCGAGTATGGCATTGGTGTCCGACTGTGCCTAGAGAGCAGTAAGTCGTGCTTTAAAATGACGATGCAGTATCTCCCTTCTCCCTCTCGATTTATTACTGGGTTAGAGAAAATCAAGACCCTCTTCCTTTTTCTTTCTTCTGCTCCCAAATTCATGTAGCCTACAGGTTAGAAGTAGAGACGGCATTTTTTAGAACAATTTCTTCTTCCTTTTGTTGCACTTCTTCTCTCTCAATTTGATTTCATTCTGCTACTTCTTCCTTCCTCGTTTCTGCTCAAGATGTTTTATATTTTATCAGATTTTGTTGATGAGGCTTTAGAAATGAGATGCTGACGCGTTGATTTTGGTTCTTGAACATATGATTTTAACCAATTGTGAGATATTTTGCTATATATATGCTTCCAACGCTTAGAAGCGTTTGACAATGCCTAAGCAAGGTAGACGCTAGACATGATCCAAACCCTAACCTTACGCTTAACGCTTTTTTTTACCATTGATAGTACCGCCTCGGCTGGGTAAGGATTGGATGCTAAGGAGTTGACATAACAATTCGTCTTCTAATTATCTTCATTAGAAATATCCAATTGCCTTAACATTTCTACTATTCTACCAACAAAAAAAAATCTAGAGTTTCAGTCTACATCTCCAACACTAAAGAGTAGCCAAAGCAAAGACTCCAAAGCCACTAGTCATTTTAGTTCACCAAATCCCCAACATAGATTAGCTTGGCATAGCCCGCTCAAAGCTTGCCCTGTTGCCTCAAAATCTACATTATGAAGCACACCTAACATCATCCTTGGTACAAGGGGAAAGCAGCAACTCTAACCATAATAACTTACAGCATACTCCAGCAGCACACCTCAGATAGTCACCAAAAAGTTACTCATCTTGGATCACACGAACTATCTTAACGTTTAGGCTAATCGATGCGTAGAATGGACCATCAGGTTCGAACACGCAAACATCAAACTCTTCCAAGTTGTTCTCGACTGCAAATGACTTCCATCCAGCTGAGAGCCCACCGCTCTTACGAGACTGCTGATACGTAAACTTGGTCGTCCACGTCTTGTCCTTCACCTTCAGGACCACACCGTGCTTGAGCAACAAGGGAAGATGTTTGTTCGTCCATACATTTGGGACGGACTACAGGGATAAAGGGGGGGAAACCCCAGAAACATAGCTCATAATTTGTTGAATCAAATGTCAGTAAAACCAAATAAACTAAATGAGGAAAAGAAATGGGTGTGGCATCATAAATACCATGAAGAATTTCCTATATACATGTGTTGGTTTCATGACAACGTAGAACCCATCTTCGGTTACAGCCTCTTGTGCCGATTCCAAGGCCTTCCTTTTCTCAGCTTCTGTTACCAGCTTTCTAAGTGATATGTATGGCACATCATGCACCACATCAAAGCTAAGGGGTGTTGTTTTAACATCTGCATCATGAAGAAAACCAAAGTAACCACCCAGAGAATCCTCTACTACAATAACTCTCAACTCCCAGGTACTCACTAAGCAACTTCTAAGTGAGTGTGAGCCGTGAGGACAATAACTCAATAGTAGTTAACAAACGAAAATGTAAATCAAGGGAGGAAATGGATGATGCAATCACAAACATTTCATATACCAACAGGCAACAGATGCACCGATAGAAAATTGAGTATTTCGGATACAAAGCACTACCTTTATCTTTCTCCCTGTCCCCAGAACAAGATAGTCCTTCGCTTTTCTCAGTCTCACTATCATGAATTGAGTCCCCACTGCTCTTCTTTTGCCTCTTGAACTTTGCATTGGTACCTTCCCAAACAATAGGGTGTTCAGCTGTTCTAGTGACAGGCTTAGCAACCGGTGTTGTTTTAGCCTCATTCTTTACCACCGCACGACCAGCTCTCGATGATGGCACCGTGCTGCCAATGTCATTCTCAGCAGTTTTCTCTAACGATGTGCCCCTAAACCGAGCAACAGGAGTTGCCTTAATGACACCAGAAGAGTTCCCTCCGAGCATCCGCTTGGGATGGCTACCATTTTCAGGAGGAGCTTTGCTTTGTTCGCACTTCTTAACAAAATAAGAACTCGCCCTCTCGCAGAAGGACTCCCCATCGAAGATCATGACCTCGAAATGAGAAACCCCATTGTACTTGAATACCAAGAGATCATGCTCCTTGAGCGAGTGGTCCTTCACAAATTCTTTCCAACCTTCATCGAAGAACATAGTTCCTGAATTCATAGCCAGTCCAACTTCCCATGTATTGCCACCGGGACCTTTAAGTGTCACACGTTCGGGCAATTTCTTTCTCTGGTTGCCAAAGAATGCTTTCGGCATGGCCTGTCCCCACATCATCAAAGCAACAACGCATCACACAAAAGCAAAATGAGCAGAACCCAGGTCGCACATTGTCACAAACTCTAATAACCCTGAAAACCTAGGTGAAAGTTGCAGACTTTATTGTGAGAAACGAAGGGTAAAGTCAGATCATGGATACAAATCCGTTCCCACTTCACAGAAATTAACGATAAAAGGGTTTATAGAACAGAGAAAGCTTACAAGCTGGTGGTCGTAGCCAGGAAGGAGAAACTGAGAGAAATGGGTGAACTGGAAATGCTTCCAATACATTTCCTCTTCCCAGCTTCTGCAGCCGCCTCCCGACGAATCTTCCTCCATTTTCCCGGCAATCAATCTAGAGCCTAATCAAAATCCACAACAAAACGGAGAAGAGAAACCCACCAAGACTAAATCCATCAAAGCGAAATTAGTAACCAGTGTTCTCCACCATTCGAAGAAAATGAAAGAAGAAGAATGAATTACCCATCTGAACAGCAACCACGCGCGACTTGAACAGAGACCAAAGGGTTTCCCGAAATCTGAAGAAGAAGGAGAAGTATGAAGATGTGTGAACCGCTGGGATATTGAAACGGAGATTTATGCGACTGTTAAATGCTTGATTGATAGATTCATCACTCCTCAGCTGGAATATAACGGAACGGAATATGACTTCAACAAACAAAATCGAACCCAGTTAGGGAAGGATAGGAATAGGATAGTGCGAATTTAAGGAAAAAATCCCAAAGTACACTAGTTTTTAAAAAAATTTCCCAAAATACATAAGTTATAAAAAAAATTCCAAAAGTACACATGTTTGAGCATCACCGTTTTAGACAAAAACGGTGAAGGTCATCACCGCTTTTGACCAAGACGGTGAATACTTCACCGTTTCAAACTAAAACGGTGAAGGGTTCACCGCGTTTGTTAAGAACGGTGAATACTTCACCGTTTTAAACAAAAACGGTGAAGCCTTCATTTGAATTCCAAGTATTTTGATAACTCTAAATGGTTCTCCTCGTCGATACGATCGCGCTGCCGAAAACGGCTCGTCATTTCGACCTCAAACGAATAAGATACGCGCGTTTTAGTTTTTAGTACGCAAAAATTACTTTAACGACATGTGCAGTTTTGAACTCACTTATCTCACTCGTTTGGACTCGGAATTGAGATCTGTAAAATTCTATGTGATCGTGGTTGATTTTCCCAACCTTTTTGTGTTGAGGGAAGATAATGATTCTTGATAAAATGATCCAGAATATTCATTCGACAACTTAAGTGCGTAGGATAGTTTTTAGACAATGCAAACTCAAATAACAACACCTAAAAATCACAAAAACAACATTGATAGTTCACTACAATGATAAAATGATAAATTCACTCATTTGCTTCATTTTGGCCCCTATCTCCACCTCTTCCTCCTCGTCCTCCACGACGTCCTCGACCCCTTCTTCCCCCCTCCGCCACTGCTTCTTGGCGGGCTCGCTCAACGGCTGGTCGCGGATTTCTCTTGACCCGAGCCCCAACTGGGGTTACATATGGTGGTGGTGGTGGTTGAGTTGGACCGGTAGCTTGACGAATGATCGGGGGGTTCGGAGTTTGTTGTTGCGGATGTTGGAATTGAGAGAACCCATGATGTTGTTACATATGGTTCTCTCAATTCCAACATCCGCAACAACAAACTCGTGGAGGACGAGGAGGAAGAGGTGGAGATGGGGGCCAAAATGAAGCAAATGAGTGAATTTATCGTTTTATCATTGTAGTGAACTATCAATGTTGTTTTTGTGATTTTTAGGTGTTGTTATTTGAGTTTGCATTGTCTAAAAACTATCCTACGCACTTAAGTTGTCGAATGAATATTCTGGATCATTTTATCGAGAATCATTATCTTCCCTCAACACAAAAAGGTTGGGAAAATCAACCACGATCACATAGAATTTTATAGATCTCAATTCCGAGTCCAAACGAGTGAGATAAGTGAGTTCAAAGCTGCACATGTCGTTAAAGTAACTTTTGCGTACAAAAAACTAAAACGCGCGTATCTTATTCGTTTGAGGTCGAAATGACGAGCCGTTTTCGGCAGCGCGATCGTATCGACGAGGAGAACCATTTAGAGTTATCAAAATACTTGGAATTCAAATGAAGGCTTCACCGTTTTTGTTTAAAACGGTGAAGTATTCACCGTTCTTAACAAACGCGGTGAACCCTTCACCGTTTTAGTTTGAAACGGTGAAGTATTCACCGTCTTGGTCAAAAGCGGTGATGACCTTCACCGTTTTTGTCTAAAACGGTGATGCTCAAACATGTGTACTTTTGGAATTTTTTTTATAACTTATGTATTTTGGGAATTTTTTTAAAAACTAGTGTACTTTGGGATTTTTTCCGCGAATTTAAGGGGGGTTGGAGTTATTGTGGAGCGACGACGAGCCAACAACTAGGATCGCTCCCGCACGACCACCGATGTTCTGCAGATTTGATTACGACTACACGAGCAATTGAGTAGATTGTGTCAAGTCACTCAATCTGGCATGAAATAAAATTCATATTTGCGCACGAAATTATTCGGTGTTTATTATTCAAGTTCTTGCGCTTCTTTTTTCCTTGTGATATTCTTAATTTCTTATAATTTTGGACATTTGCTAATAAAGTAGTTAACGTAATTTTTTCATGGCAAAATATGCTTTCATAGTCATAACTATTTGCGTTGTGACAATTATAGCCACTTTTTGAAAAATACACTGATATAGCCACTTTTTTCAAACTTGCTTGACAAATTTAGTCATTTTCGTTACAAACTTTAGCGTCGTTATGGAAGCCGTCAGTAACCCCTACGTGTTGCTGAAGTGGATGCCACCTGAACGCCACGTCATTGCCAACTAGATGTCTACATGCCATTTAGATGCTTTGTCATATTAAAATTATATTTTTAATAGAAATAATTAATTTTACTGGAAAAAAAAAAGTTTAGAAAGAAAGAAATCATTTTAGAATTTAATACACACTTTAAAAACACATTAGGAATTAAATGCACCATATTAATTATTATCTATTTTTTTTTCAAATTAAAACCTACACTAAATATATTCTCTCTCCTTATATCTGATTTTTCCTTTTTCAGCAGCCTCCGACCACCAGACTTCCTCCGACCGCCACACTTCTCCGGTGAAAATCTCATCGGCAGACTCCCTCCGAACACCTGCAAAAAATATACCACTGCACTGATACGTTGTACCACTACACTGCTAGCTATACCACTGCACTGGTAGCGATATCAGTGCACTGGTACCAATGTCACATATGAGTATCAATGCAGTGGTACAAATACAAGTACAGTGGTATAACATATCAGTGGAGTGGTATATTTTCGCAGGTGACCGGAGAGAGTCTGTCGGCGGATTTTACCGGCGAAATGTGGTGGTCGGAGGAAACTTGGTGGTCGGAGGCTGCTCGGAAAGGAAGAATAGAGATAGGAAGAGAAAGATCAAAGATGAGAGAGAGAATTGTATTTTTGTATATGTTTAGATTTTTTTTTAAAAAACGAGTAATTAATGTGGTGTATTTAATGCTTACTTTGTATTTAATAACAGAACATTTATTATGGTTACTTTCATTAATACTAGTCAATAATTAATGAAAAATTGATCAATTAACAAGGGGGTGTCATTTTTCCAACCCCTTAAGGGGTTAGCATGCTAACCCATCCCATCCCCAAATCCCTTACGATCCCCACCGGCGCAGCAGGCTCAAGATAGGGTGCATCCATCAATAACCAAATCCGCATCATTCATTTAGAAAATCCATATATAAGGATGGAGAATTAAATGTTATTTTTATTTTCCCTACTTTTCTTAATCGATTCATATCTTTTTCGTTTTAACTAGAATTTTAATTTTTTTTGCACAGATGGAACGAGTTCATCGTGCTCTACAAAATGAGATCAATTTTCAATATTTTTTGAGAAAAAAAAAATCTGGTCTCTCGGTATTAACTGCATACCATATGGTATCTTTTTCGTTTTTAATTCGTTTTTGAAACGTTTGCACAGAAGAGACGAGTTCATCATGATCTATTGGATCTAAAAATTTCTTAGTGAAAAAATTACAGGACCAAAAAATACCACACAATATCATACAATACCACCCTGGTAGGGGGTGGTATCTTGTGGTACACAATGTTAAAAGTCGTAAATGACAGTTAATATACTTCTACTATCATGTATTCAACCATCCTACAATCTTGGTTTGTTAATACCACCATGATACGCTTTTCAAACCATAAGTATGCTCTTATTTCAATACCAGTCAATACCATATGATATAGACTGGTAAAAAATGGCTCAATTTTTTTTGTTCGAAAAATATATCAAAGTGAATATCATTTTGAAGAGCACAATTAATCTGATCTAACTATGCAAAAAAATTCAATTTCGACTTAAAACTAGTGAGAAATCATTCATCAAAGATTAAGAAGGGGAAAATTAAAGGCTTTCCAGGAGAGAGAAAGATGCTGATGTGGACGGGTTACTCATGGTTACTCACCATAAGGTTACTAACCTGATCCGTTCCCGGCGCAGCATGAGGAATCCAATCGGTGACTCCTCTGTCCCGCGAAAAGAGCCGGCAAAAACCCAAGCGGTACTCACTCCCCGCATCCATCAGCTTTGATAAGCCCATCGCCTTCTTCTTCTGCTTCTTTGCTTCAACGTCGATCCCGTATCTTCCACATAGACCACCACCGCCGCCACTTGTTTCACTCCCACCTTGACTTTCATGGATGATTTGGATGCCCTAATTGCTCACAAACCTAGCAACCGCCTCTCTCTTGGTCGGCGAAATAGGGAGATTTGAAGAGGAGATTTGAAATCACGTCGGCTGAAGTTGGGGATTTTGAGGGCGGTGGCACAATCGTTAGGGATTAGGGTTCATCAGCGTCGCCTGAATCAAAAAATGGGGAATAAGAGTTGGAATCGACGTCGTGCTGGTGGAGAATATAGGATTCGGAATCGGAAAAATGGGGATACGGGTGGAGTAGATCCGGCAGGGAACCGTCCTCTCTCGATTCATACCATATAACTAGTGCAGAGGCGGGGGGAAGCGGTCGCCGGGGCCGGAGAGTAGAAGTAGTTTATCGGCGGTGGTGGCGGAGAGAAGAGACGAAGATGACAGAAGTGGGGTCTCCGGTGCGGAGGAATTGATGGAGCTGGAGGAGCTGAAAAGAGTCGGAAGCGGCATTGTTGAGGGTGAAAGGAGATTTGGAGATGCGGCATTGTTGAGGGCACTAATGCCTCTGCTCATCTTTGCTTTCATTTTCTTTATTTTTTTTTGTTTTTCAGTTAATTAAAATAATAATATCTCTAAATTGGAAAAGTCAAGAGGAAAAATTGCCACGTGAGCATCAACCGATAGTCCAGTCAGCATTGATGATGTTTTCGTTAAAGTTTGGGACGGAATGGCTATATCAGTGTATTTTTCAAAAAATGACTATTATTGTCACAACGCGAATAGTTATGCTTATGAAAGTGTATTTTGCCTTTTTCATTATTAATTGTGAAACATGGAGATGGAGTGAACCCTAATGCATCGTGAAACACATGTATGTTGAAATCATGCATTTGTATCAAAATTGCAGTGTTTGATTGTAGATTCAGAGTTCAAAAAAGTCATAATTTTACG